ATAACATTATAATAGAAATTGATTCATTGGCAATGGTACATATGTTAAATGGTGTATGGGATACACCATGGAGTGTGGCCTTGGAAATCAGTTCTATTAAGAGGCTGGAGGAATTGCTAGCAGTAAGAGTACAACACTCCTTAAAGGAGGGTAATACTCTTGATGATTACTTTGCTAACCTTGTTTTTGTTTTTGCAGGTAACTATGAATTCACAACTTACCAAGAGGTCCCAAACACAACAAAAAAATTATCAATATGGATAAGCAGAATATGCCAAACATGAGAATCATACACATGTATGCATCAGATTGCTAGGTTTCTAGTTTAACAGATAGGCCATTTGGTGTATCTTGACACAAATCAGACTAACATTATACAGATCTTTTATAGTCTGAAGTAACTTCGATTGGTCAATATGTCATGCACCTGGTGAGAGCTTTGGAGTGTATCATATGACATAAAACCAGGACTAAGAAGGTTAAGCAATGTTAGTTTCACTATGATAAAGTAGAACATCTATTAACACTTTATAGGATTTACTAAAGATGGCATCTAGCATTAATCATACAACAGAGTGAAATCAACTAACTTTGCCCTGATTTGAGAACGGGTGATGGTATTAATCCCTTGATTGGATTCAACCCACTTGGACTTATATTTGGGCAAGGACTAGTTGATTAAACTAACGCAGAATAGATGCAAGAAGATACTAATTGGGAAGTAGTTCTCAGAACTACAAGTCAAGAAAGAGTAGTCTGAATCACAAACACATGCCAACAACAACTCAAAATGGGTTCAGGAAGCATACCTTGTTAGTTAAAGAGGAACCGATGATGGCGACCGAGGTGGAGGTACTAAATGCACGAGCTACTTCAAATCGACAGACGCCGGGAGGATTCAACATTTTCCCCTTGTCAACGAGTAAACGACGCTAGCGTGCAAGGTTGAAGCAGGTGACCGCACGAGCTGATTCCAACCCTTGTCAACAAAAGACATCGGTGCGCAGCTGACCAGGCGACAGTCGTCAGGAGGATCCGCCATTCCTCTGTTCCTATTTCGCAGGTCACTTGTTACAATGACTTTTCACTTTCCTAATTTGTTGATTAGGATGCTTTGTTTTGTGAAGAAGTGGGCTTAGAATTAGCCCGCAACAATGTTTTACTGATTTTGTTAGTTATAAATTTTGACCCAATGGTCGTTGGTTACAAAAAAAAAAGACTCGCCCTTTGAGTCTTTCAAAATAATCAAAATAATATTCAAACTCATACTACTAAAACTTATACCTTCTTCCATTTAAGAAATTTTGTAGAGCAAGTCACATTCAAGCAATAGTAGTATATGTCTTTGGTTCATGGTCAATGTTAGTGACCGAACACTATTATATTATATATCATAAAAAGATCCTAGAAAATACATACCTGATTTTATGCATATAATACCTTGATTGCAGTAGTTATCATTTTCCCTTCACGATACTCATAACAAGATAAACCAGAACGTGAATTAAAGAAAAACTAAAATTCAATTTCAATTGGCTAGAGTCATGTTGATAACGTGTTGTAAAATATAAGCAACATACTACAAACAATATAGACAAGATATATGGGGAGTAGAATGTAGAGATCGTCTTATTCAAATGTCTTCATGTCTCATGTGTATATTTACAATGGTGATTGAACAACCCTATTTATAGGTTGAAAAATCAATCCAAAAGTCACCATATTAAGTGCCATAATAAATAGATACATTGTTATCCAAAATGGTTCATAGAACCTAGGGAATACACATAGATGATAAGTATAGGTTTATGGATAAATTCAATGGACAGTCCACTTAGTTTAATGGATTAATAACAAGGTTAAAGTTTTAGTGATTTTAAAACTTAATTATGAGATCTTAATTAGTTTTAAAAAAAATCATAATTATTGGACTATTTGTGAGAAACTATCACATCTAACACAAAAACTAAAGTGAGATTGAGTTTTAGCTTATTGGATTTCTTATTTAAACTTTTAGATTGTGGATTGATTTAAAATTGTTTTATAAAAAATTGAATTTCAAATTGAATATGAAACTTCATATTTTCAAGCGACTTGTAAAATGATCCACCCAAAATTGATTTTCTAATGATTTTCAGTAATAATATAAGGTATTTATGTCTACCCATTAGACTAAGCTCATATATAGTATATTTTACCATCATACTAGATCAGTCAATATATTTTAGGACTAGTCTCAAATATATACAATAAAATAATTAGTTTATAATAAATATAGTCATGTTTTTATTTACATAAAAAATAGTCAAAAGTTACAGTAAGTATACACTGATTATACAATATAGTTTGTCAAAAGTCATAGAAAGTATACATTTATTATACAATACAGCTTGCATATACATGAGTTATACACTGATTATACATTATGATACACTCAAAGAGCTGAATATGGATTATACATGAAATATACATTGACTATACATGAAGTATACACCGACGAGTTCAATCTCAATTAACTCAAAATAACCTCTAAGTAGTCTCAAAATTTAGATATGAAATCTTCTCGATGTTTCAAGTCATTTGACATATAATTTGCTCAAAATAATTCACATTTTCGATGCATTGAATTAAAAAAAAAAAAAAACGAAAAAGACAAGAAGAATGAAGAAGAAGCAACAGTCATTAATGACGAAATAATTTTAAAAGTTGGGCCAAAAAGCAAAAGGCCGAGTGGCCCTTTTATTCCATATTTTATTAGGCTATGTGCAGGGCCGGCAGAAGGGCCAAGCCACTCAAACATAGGCTTTAGGCCCTTCACATTTTGAGGCCCCGTTTTTCTTAACAAGATGATGAGTAACATATTGCAAAAAATAGAATCTATAGATAATTGAGGAAATCAGATCATAATTTATTTATTTTTATAATTAAAGTATAAAAGTAAGTGAACGATACAAGAACAATCAACTACATTTTTTCAAAAAAGAAAAGAAAAAGAAGAATACTTTAGTAAGCAAAGTAGTGGTACTAACTCTCTCGGTTACTCAAATAACGAAGTTCAATCAGCGTAAAATAGTGTAGAAATCAAGTGCTATTCAAATTAGTTTTTGTTGTTTAGTTAGCTTCTTTGAGTTTTATTTGTAAACCTCAACATTCCTATGACTTGTATTGGATTGTTTTGAAAGTACGTAAGAGGTTTGTAGGCAGGGGCGGAGCTACAGCCTAGTAAGGGTGGTCAGATGAACACCCTTCGTCGGAAAATTATATTGGGTATATAGGCAAAATATAGTCTAATATCTGTATATTTATTAATTGAACACTCTTTGAAAAAGCAAAGGCAGATGGTCCAGCAGTAGGCACACTCGTCCACCTCATGGAGGTCTGGGGTTCAATTCCCACTAGTTGCATTTTTTAATACAAATCTCTTTTTAAACAAAAAAACACATAAATTTTTGTGCAGGTTACTGATCGGTAAAAAAAAAAAGTTTTGTGTACCCACTATGCTAAAAAAAATTTATCGACTCTTTAATGGTTGAACACCATTGGCGAAATTTCTGGCTCCGCCACTGTTTGTAGGGCGAGGGTTAAGACGTGATAGGTACTAGTTGAAGAGTCGATGCATACAAAAATACGGGTGTGGTTACAGTAGTTAAAGAGTTGTGATCATAGTTATTACCTTAATAGTTTCTTTGATGGAGGCTTCCTAGTGGCCAACGCAGTCCAGCTGTGCCAGTGGCCATGATAGTTTAAAGAGTGTGTTAAAGAAAATGTGAAATGTCAAGTCTATCAAACAAATTCATAGAATATTCTAAAATTCTTTATCTCTATCCCACCAACAAAAATACCAAATGATCTCCAAGAGTTGCGTCAATTATGGGCCTATTATATGCTTAATTATGTTGGTAAATCGCCTCTCCACCCACGAAATAGTTAAAATTATGAGCTTCCATCATCAATTCTTGTTGAATACTATTGATATTTACAACACATGAACGAACTTGCCGTCTCAAAATATTATTGAATGCACCTACTTTTTCTTTTCTTACAAGTAGAATGACTTTTTACTAGTAAAATACTATAAACAAGGCAAGGTGACATGAGAAACTTTATTCGTAGAACTCTAAACAAAGTATTGAAATATCAAAGCATATAAAAGTGAAAAATAATTATGTAATTTGGGCCTTCTATATCAATGTCCATTGTAAGCAATCATATTTTCTAATGCATGGTGGTAATACAAACAGAAAAATATTAATGGTAATGCACTTAAGGGTATTATCTAGTTAATAAAGTGAGTTGAGAATCATAAGGTTTTCAGTTCAAATTTCAATAGAAACAAAAATATTAGCATCTTGTTTGGATGATTGTTACCCGCTATATTATATTATGTTGTTAGCTTAAATGTTTTTTTATTGTTACTTAAATTTTATTGTATGATATCGTTTCAATCCATTGTTAGGTAATAACGAAAAGTCTTATTTTGTGTAGCGATCGATTTGTTATGATTATGTTGTTACTTAAATATTTTCTAATCATTTTTTCTTTACTTATTATTTAATAATTTTGTTTTATCTTTCATCCACATTTTCATAGTAGCTCTACCATTTACCGTACTTTCTTATAAGTTTATCATTCAAATTGTTGACGTATGACATTATGTAACGATGAAATCTAATCACTGTATTCATTAAAATAATATAGTACGATATAATAGAATACATTATAAAACAATATGTAACAACCATCCAAAAAAAGTGTAGATAATCTTTTCTATGCGAAAAGTGGTCCGAAGACCACAATTATTTTTTTCTAAAAAGTATGGTATACTTCATGAATCACATCTTCTTGTCCATAAATGGGATTAATTGAAAACCATATTTACAGCTTGGCATCAAATAGTGGACCATAATTTTAATTTTTATCCTTTTCATTTCATTTCAATATAACATAAATAAATAATTTATTTTTATTATTATTATTATTTATTTAATTTGTTTCTTCATCATTCTTCTCCATCAGGAAAAAAAAAAGCCCTCATTTTCCACCTCTTCTGATTCAGTTTTTTCATCAGTGTTTGTAAATCGCTGCTGAGAGAAGTCGAAGAAACCCTAATTGCCATTTTATCAAATTTGACGTTGTAGAAGGAGATTTAGGAATGAACTGAGATGGGTGCAGCAGGTTCCAAACTCGAGAAAGCTCTGGGTGACCAGTTTCCTGAAGGAGAACGTTACTTTGGCCTCGAGAATTTCGGCAATACTTGCTATTGTAACAGCGTTCTTCAGGTATTTTTCTTTTTCATTCATTTTGATTTGCATCATTTTCACGTTGTTTGCTTAGATTATTGGAACTTTACCAATTTGTGTTATTTAGAATTATGGGGGAAATGACCTTTTTGGGGGATTTTTTGTGGTTGTGCTGTAGGTACTGATTGATTGATTGATAGAACAGATGTGGTTTCATTTAGGCATGCCTAACTAGTTTGGGATTGAGATATATTATGGTTTCTGCTAGGTGGTATAGTGGCAATTGTTATGTACATAGTTCTGTACTGGATTGCATTTTGCTTTGGCTGGTGATGGCAAAAAGTTACTGAAGAAAAAGGAGTATGATATTTTGGAAAGACCAAGTGAAACCTGTTGGAAGCAGCAAGTTGGCATCTTTTAAAGCTTTGTTTCAGTCCTATTTCAATTTTCAGGAAATTAACCCAATTATCTCATACATTAGAACCAACATATCTGAGAGTGGACTCATCACTTTGTTTGTTTAAAGTCATAGCTAGGTTGCTCTCTTTGTTTTTTATGACTGTGGTGTCCAGGCAAGCTTTCGCGCACCTTGACTAATTCCATGGGATACCTGCCACCTCCACCACCAGCAACAGGTATCTGGTAACTCTATCAATCAAGTCTAGGACAAATGGAAAGAATCATCTAGTGTTTTTTCTCAACCACTTCATCGACCACTAGGCCACATCCTTGGGTCAGTGGGTGCGTCATAGCTAGGTTTCTCTTAAAATAGAATAATGGGAAAAGTGCATAACATAAATGCATCTCTTAAAAGGGAAATTACAAAATTCTCTGTCCAAGTTCATGTAGCTAGAGGTTTACCAAGCATACATCTTTTTAGGTTTAAAAGGGAAGTACTATGCGAAAATGTCTATAGTTAAACAGAAGCAGATGAAAACAAGTTCTTATCATCTAAGGGAAGCAAAAAGATTTAGGAATAGGAATAATCAATGAAAAGTTCCTTCCTAGCATGGTACGAGCCTCGGTCAAGATAGAGATGGAGTTTGTTTTGACTAATGTTGAAGCTGGTGATATCAAGTCCAATGGAGCAAGCAACATTGGTGGAATGTATAAGAGAGAAGTGAAAATATGGTAGAGTTTGTGGCCAAAACATCCCTTAACTATACCTCAAACTTAAAATTCATATGTGTACTACCACATTGAACAAAAATCATCCTTAAGCTATCCAAAAATTTTACAAGATCTGTCCCTCCTAAGTTTTCTTGGCATAAACTAACGACTTTAACCAAAAAAGGTACTTCCCCAAAAATTCCCCTATCCCATCTCCTTAGTCCCCCTCCCCCCCCCCCCCCCCCACACACACACAATCGTCTTTAACATCCAGCACAAAGTGCTTTTGGTTATTTGCACAACAATGGTTTGATATGATTCAACCGCCAGTCAAAGAGATTGAGTACGATTTGGTTGCAATGTTTTTGTGCAACACAACATGATCGTTATGTAGACTATAGAGAATAGATGAATTGTATTATTCAGCTAAAGCGAAAGTCAGGACAGGAAAAGTAAGGAGGTTCACTCAAGCTCAATTTCAAAAGCTCAAGAATAGATCAGTATAGAGTAGACCAATCAGCTAGTGTGATCCCTGATGTTGTCACCGCTCATATTGTACTCCATCGGCAGCTAGTGCATAGTCATGACTTTAAGGACTCCAATATTTATTCTCTGTGTCAAAATGCTCGTCTACACCTATCCACCAATTTTCCATCAGTCTGACCCCTCTTTCTTCCTATAAAATCAAATCCCAGTATAAAAAGAACATTCATGCCCCAACACTTGCAGAGAAGAAATCCATCCTCCATTATGTTTGTTTTTAACTGAGTTTGACAGATAAATATAACTTGTTACGTTTTATGTTCACCTGATAGTACATGGATGTAGTTAAGTTTGAGAATAGTTGAGGAATGTTTTTGGCCAAAAGTTCAAAGATTGCACACCATTCTTTTTAATAAAGATTGTGTCTGGGCCAGCTTGTCTACACCTAGACTAATTGACTTGGTACGTGCTGCCACTCACTAGGACAATACCAGATTGCTTTGTCTATCCAGGCTTAAACAGATCGGAAAGGATCACCCTACGTCTTTTGCCTCTGTTGGGATTTGAACTGTTTGTCTCTCATGGTTCATTCAACATAGTTAACCGTAATACTACATCCTTGGATTTAGAAGATGCCTCATCATGACAATGGAAATGATTGTTCACCTTGGACAGTACCCATAAGCTCCATCACTATTTGCGGAACTAGGAATACAAGTTAGCAAATTGAAAGCTGTCTGTACCAAAGAGTTTCAACCTGCAGAGTCAAATCTTAAGATAGGAGACAAAAACACTATAAAGAAGACAAGAAAAAGGCTAAAGCTATTTATTGCGACGGAGACGAGAAGAAACAAAATCCAAGGGGAAAAGAACAAAGGAGAGAAAAAGCATAAGACAGCTGTATTGTCTTCGAAAGATCAATATTCCCCTATCAGTGAATGATTGGGATCCTCAAGATTATTTGAAGGCTGCTTCCAATTTGTGGTACAGTACATAGCGGGTGAGATAAATCTAAGATGATGAGCAAAGCTAGAGCAGTAATACACAAGTAGAATAATTGCACCACTGGACACTACAAAGAAGGAAGATAACTTTGAGTTGATTGGTGAAATTGTGAAAAAACATATGAAGACAACCCTGTTTTGTGTCATTGATAAATGTGCTATCTTTGTGAGTTTCTGGATATTTCTTTTACAGGCCATGGGATAGAAACAAATTTTCACTCACTGGGATTGAAAATGAATGTAAGTAAAGGGGATTTAGGGATGAGAACACAATGATTGTTTGATAACCAAAATTGAAGGGGGGAATAACTTAAAATTGAAGATATTAACGGTCTCAATGAACTATGAAGGAAGAAACAAGAAGAATAATAATAGGTGAAAAGGAGTGAGATGGATTTATGGTGTGAGTGAGATGAAGCAATTGATTGAGTGGAATGGGACCAGTGATTGAAAATTAGAGAGGTCTCTAAGATGAACATATGTGTTGTATGACTACATAGGAGAGTAGAGACCTTGAGAAATCATGTTAAATCTTTTGCTTGTTGGGTACATTTGTGGTCTTCATAAATAGTAGGAGAGTCTCAAAGTGGTGAGTGTTATGGAGAGAGAAACTTAAATCAAAATTTAAGTTGATGAAAATTATGTACTGGAAGACTTATCAAAAAAATTAGGGAAAAGGGTCTGAAAAATACTCCAACTTTGGCCAAAATTGTTGTTACAATACCAAACTTTGGAAAGGACCGTTTACCCCCTGTACTATTTAATAGTGTATTTTAAAGGTATATATGTATCTACGTGGACATCATAAATATTGCATCATTTTAAATAGTAATGTGTCCATGTGGGCACATATATACCTTTAAAACATAGTGCAGGGGGTAAAAGGTCCTTCATAAAGTTTGGTATCGTAACAACAATTTTGGTCAAAGTTAGAATATATTTCAGACCCTTTTCCCAAAAAATTACATAGAGGAAGTTTGAGATGTTTTTGAAGTTGAACACGGTGAAGGTAGGTCATAAGGGTGGACTAAGCAATGTGAATTCGGATGAATTTCATAAGATATGATCCTCTCTCATATGTATTGAACTCCTTTCTTCTCATTTAATCTTACATTACTTATCTTTGCACATTATTAATCCTTTATCAAGTCTTACCTTTTTCTATCCTGCATCTGTTAAATGTCAAACAAGATAAGGTGAAAATAGTCTTTTCTCTATTACTGAGTTGTCATCAGCTCATTTTAAAGCTAAAATTGCTAGAGGGCACATTTTATTTAGTGATTTATGCCTTCAACATGCCTCCTTGCGTGCAGACGAAATTCTTTCTAGTGTGCCAAGCAGGCGAATTTGTTTAATGAAGGGCTGGATGTAAGGCATTTACTTTGGGCCTCTACCTACTCTAATACCTTATGAACTTTATGACCACCTCTTTTAGAAACATAAAGGCATAACTAAGTAAAAGTGTGCCTTTTTGATGGTTAAGTTTTCAGATGAGGTGGTTAGACAATTCAGTAATTTAGATATGATAAAGTTCAACCACCAGCACCCTATTTGCAATTTGCATACAGGTTGAAGCAAAATCCAGGAAAAATTCAAAAGATTGGTTTCGGTTGAGTTTTCGGAGTGTTGAAAATGGCAAATAGCAGGTTTAAATGCATTGCAACAATTGGTTTTGTGTGAAATGTAGAAACTAATTATTGTTAGCCCTATGATGTACTGTCTGCTTGCTGAATTAACCAAAAAGAGACTGTTGATCTCACCCTGCTTGTATACATGTAATATTATATATGAACCCCATGTTGATAACATTGTCGTATACGTGTTATATTATGTATGATCCTGAAGTTGATAGCATAATATTGTTCTTGTTTTATTCAACAGGCTCTATATTTCTGTGTTCCATTTCGAGAACAGCTACTGGATTATTATTCAAATAACAAAAATCTTGCTGACGCAGATGAAAATCTCTTGACATGCCTTGCTGACCTGTTTGTGCAGGTATTACGTGGCTATTGTTGAAATTATCTTTTCCTAATTGTTTTCCCTTGATCCTTTAATTATGATGCACAAGTAATCATGTGTTAAGCTGCTAATAAGAACCCACAGTTATGATGTCCATATCTGCATGTAACAGCTATCTCGGAGCTGTCAGGATAGATCTTTGGATTAATGTCCATTCTCTCTATTTAGAGAATTTGTTATCAACTGTTCATTAGAATTTACATGTACAAAACATTCACCGTCAGTGAAGAATTTCTTCTTCTTTTTTATTTTTTTCTTTTTAAAGGTTAGTTAGGAGATTACATTTCTATGTGTTTTCGATAGAATTTCATTTTAAATGCATAATCAGCATGTTCAGGTTTAATAAAACTAAAATGTTGTTTTTTTTCTCTTTGTGGCTCATTATGTGGATCAGATAACCAGAATCTTGTTGAGATGTTCTTCTTAGGTTTCTTTCTTTGTTTTTTATACTTCTCACTCGCACAAAGGGAAAAGGGAATGTTCTTCAGAGTGGGAAGCCCCAATTGCCAGCTCCTGGATGGGGCTAGGGTAGTTGTTTACAGGGTATGAATGTGGATGTGATCTTTCTGAAATTTTGTTTCCCAGTCACACTTTATTTGAAAAATTTAGATGATATGCAGATTTTGGTTTTATAGTTATGACTATCTGTTTGTGTTTTTGACCTGTGAGCTCAGTTTTAAAAACCACTTCCCTGATCTGACCCTTTTGGGTTTTGTCGTTCTGTGTTTTCAGTTTGACTCGAAAAGAATCATCAATTGGCTTAAGGCAGTTTTATTTTATTTGTAGAGGAGACTAGGAATTTGTTGTTGTTTCTTGTTCTGTAAGGCTGAAAATAAAATAGAAGATGAGTTCCTAGAGGATGTGCATAAAGTAATTCTTGTGCTTGTTAATGGCCTGTCCAGCAGGCATGTTGCTCTCCATTAGTAATTTATTTCTTAGTTTCTTGTCTTTAGTATGCATTGGCTGAGAGTTTGTCTTGAATCTATGTCATGTTCTTGTCATTGAATAGATTGTTCAATTATTAAATATTAGTTTATTCTCTTAGTTATTTTTGTTTCCGTAGAAAGAGTGAATGCATTCACGATTTTTCTAAGCTTAGGCTCCAAATAAGCGACATGTTTAGTCCAATCCGGTTAAATGTTGGCAATTGACAATTTGGGGACATAAATGTTTGTTCTGCTAATCTTTTGGGATCTTTAAACTGAACTTTCGATCAACTTCAGTAATGAAAAATAATACTTCATCTGTCCCAATTCATGTGGCACTCTTCGTTTTCGAGATTCAAACTGCGTAAAGTTTGACCGACATTTTAAAATGTACTTTTTTCATCATATTGACATGAGAATTGCAACTTATAGTACTTTCCATGTAATTTTTAAATATATAAATTTTAATTTTAAAATATTGAATTGATCTTATTCAATTTTCCTTCAAAGATTATTCAAATTGACTCTCAGGAAGAGGAAAGTGCTGCATAAACTAGGACGGAGGGAGTATATTGTTAGAAAATAAGAAGTTCAAGTAATACATCGGCTTTCACTGTCTCACGTATAAATTTGAGACCATATTTTATGACTTGGAAAAAGCTGTAATTAGCTAAGCATATAAGATGATTTATTTCCTACCATCTGTTGTTCTCTTTAAAAGGTTGCGCATTATTAGTTTGAATCAATAGTATCCCCCTCCTTTATTTACAGATATTTGAAAGAACATTGTCAGAAATTGTATTTTTTTGCATTTTATGAGCCCATGATCAATATTATACTTCATCATCGAACTAATGGGCTTATTCTTGTGATTTTGTAGATAAGCTCACAAAAGAAGAAAACTGGTGTCATTGCTCCCAAGCGCTTCGTACAGAGATTGAAGAAGCAGAATGAGATTTTCCGCAGTTATATGCATCAGGTTTCCTATAGTCACTTCTTTTAAGAAATGCTAGTTTGAAACTAATATTCCTTTATCCTATAAATATGGGGTAGATAGCCCCTAAGTTTGTCTGTACAGGTGTTAAAAACCCCTCTCCCTCCTTTTACTTGCATTTACTGAATTGTGTGCTTTACTCCCTTTTGGTGTTACTAGACTGATATAATGTGAGATTGCTAGAAATCCTAAAAACTAATGAGTTGCTTCCTATATTTGCCTCTTTTTTCTTTTTTTCTTTTTTTTCTTTTTTCTTTTTTTTCATGCTGCATTTGGTAGTATTTTTCTTGGGCAAGTGTCATTGAGAAATGTAATTGTGTTGAACTGGAAATTTTGTTCCTAGGCCAGTCAAATGATCAGATCAAGTGAAAAAATCCCTGCTTGGAGTTGATTGTCCTGCCTAAGGGACTTCTCTTTGTTATCTTTGAAGATATCCTTCTCTGCCTTTGTGTTGGTCCAGACTAAACATTAATTATTGTCGTGCTAGTCTGCAAACATTTGTTTTCATGTTAATTTAGTGACTAGGAGGTTAAGCTCATTTAAAAGTGTTATATATTCTACTTGCTTTACATTGTTTCTCTATGTAGAGGGCATGCATGTGGTCATCAGATCCAGCTTTATCTAAAACTTGTTCTAAGAAATTTGTCCCAGAAATTGAAGACTTGCATTCTACCTGATCCAGAGGGAGGGAGAGAGAGAGAGAGACTCACATTTCCAAATAATTGATAGCTAAATTAACTGTCGTCATATGATGCTTTTGACTTTTATTCATCAGTTACTCTTCATTTCCCTTTATGTGTTTGGTGCTTATATGCTCTGATAGTCTGATGTACTCTCCCGCCACTCATGTTTATTGATATCCTTCTTTGTTAGGACGCACACGAATTTTTAAACTATTTACTGAACGAACTGGTTGACATACTGGAGAAAGAAGCCAGTGCAGCTAAAAGTGATCAAGAAACTTCTTCCCCAACAGAAAAAATTGCAAATGGACCAACCAGTGTTCAAGCTAATGGTGTTAAAAAAGAGCCCCTGGTTACATGGGTGCACAAAAATTTCCAGGTAAAGCTTGCTAGTCTTGGCAGTTATCAGCTTATGCCATCATTTCTGGTTATACATCACCTGAAATGTCAGCAACTGTATTCCTCTTTCTCCTTTTTCTTTTTTAGGTTTATCTGCCAGGACTGTTTAAATTGGGTTGTCTGGTGCTCAACACTTTGGAATTGGGTCTTACATTCAGTCTTGCCATGTACATTGTTCAGTTTCTGGCTACAATCAGGAAGTAAAGTATATTTTGAGTGATAATAATGAACTGCCAGTGTGCACTAGGGATCTGCTTTGGACTCATACTTGAAATGGTGCATGCTACTTGTAAATAATACTATGTTAGATTTCAAAATTAATGGAGGAGTCTATCAAAAGCTAGATGTGAACTCTAAAGTGAAGGGTCTATTATCAAGTAACAACATATGCATGGTAAGTTTAGCCTCGATAAGAAGAATGGAAGCAAAGTGAGACGATATTGTGTTCTCAACTCCAAACAATTCAGATATTTTCGCTGAAAATTGACATATAAATACAATATAACACAGAACAAAAAATAGGATTGCCAAATTGGAGTGCTGCTAGAATGTAATCAGATGTGAAGATACCTTGCAGGCTAACTATGTATATGATGGTTGAAATGGGAGAATGCTACGGCAATGCTCTGTGATAGGAAGATACATAACAACAATGATAAGCACATTCAATGGAAAATCGTGAAGACCAGCAACGTCTTCTAGGTGTTAATATTTGACCTCTAAGACCTGATGCATCCACAAAATGAATGTCCTAGAAATTCATATGTATGTAAGATTGAGCAAGATTCAAAATTACCACTTCTGACATAGGGAGCGAGTAGCACAGGTGGAGGATAATATGGCATTAGGTCTGCTTAGATTTTTTATGCACCAGTCCATAGATGCGGATGATTGAAGATATGAAAGCAAGGAAGTAGATTTAAAATCATAGGAAGTCATGATAAAAGATCTAAAATCTTTGCTTCCATTGTTTCTTACCTTAGTTAAGTCCTCATATTTTCCCCTTACAGATAAAAAACTAACGAGGACTTAGATAAGTTAGAAACAACGGAAGCAAAAGATTCCTACAGGCCATATCAACTAATTAGGTCTACACAATATAAGATGAGGTCCCTGGGGTATAGGCAATTTGCTGACACTATTGTACTAACTGAAGAAACCAATGAGGTGTTAACCATAAGCTTGGACTATGGAGAAGTACTCTAGAGAGTGAGGCTTACGGTAAGTAGAAGTAGATTGAATAGATGTATTGCAAAATATGTTAGCATAAGAAAAGTGAAGTTGAGGTGAGATTAGGTGACATTGAGGTACCAAAATGCAATCAATTCAGATACCTACACTCACCTGGAGATTGGAGTGAGACTGGAGAATGGAATGATAGATGGAGATGTTACGCATTCAATGATAATTGAATGGATGAAATGAAGAAGTGTTATCAGGGTGTTATGTAGACTCTACCTACCATAGTCAAAGTTAAATTCTTCAGAACAATTATAAGACCAACGATGTTATATGGAAGGAGTTAATATTGAGCTGCTAAAGTCCAACACGTTCACAAGATGGGTGTCATAGAGATGTTAATAATAAGATAAATGTACAGTCATAAAATTAGACAATATCTAAAATGATCACATAGCACCAAAAGGTGCAAGTAGCTCATATTGAGGATAAAATAAGAGAAGGTCTATTGAAATGGTTTGTTCATGTCCTATATCGAACATTAGATACAATGGTTTATAGGAGTAGAATTATGGTGAGAAGTAGGTTTTGAAAAGGAACAAGGTAGATCTAAAATTTCATAGAATGAAGTAGTCTTTTTTTTTTTTTTGAAAATGGTACTATTGAAGAATGAAGTTGTCTCTAATGCCCTACAATCTGTTGGAATCAATGTAGACTTAGCGATAGATAGAACACAATCGAAGAGAAAGCTCTATATAGACGATACCAATTAATTGGACATATGTTTGAATCACGTTAGTTAGCTTAAAATTTTCTAGGTATCTTCTACTTATATCAGAGATTTGTATACCACTAGGAAATGAGAGAACTGCTGGTACTTCTTACTTTTATTTTTATTGTATATAATATTGGCCAGAGATGAGTTTAAATGGAGATCCCAACTTGTTTCAGACTTGGGCATAGTGGTTGTTGATGGTGTTTAGTTGTTATTACATTTATGTTAGGTCTCTCGAGAGCTGCTTTTTTTTTTAAAAAAAAAGGAGGAGATTTAGAGAACTTCTAGTTTTAAAGAATTTTCTAATTTATTTAAATGACAATTATTTAGTATTGGAATGAAATAAGCCGAATAAAATGGAATTGAAGGATTCTTATGGTCGACCCAACTATTCGGCAATCAAGGCATAGTTGATTGATTTTTCAGGGATCGATGTGCTTCTATTGTAGATTCTCCACGAACTTGGTAAGTCAGAATAAGTGCCTGATATTGCATCCTTGTACTGCTTCTGGTGTCTGACGTCTCTTGTCAAAATTAAAAGAAAGGAAGGAAAAAGAAAGAAGAGTTCAGAAGTAGAACTACGGTTTTTTAACATTTCTTTGACAGTACGAAAAAGAAAGTTAAAGAGTATTTTATCTGGTCTTGAGATGTCTCTGTTAAACCAGTACTCTCTACCCTCTATAATTGAAACCAGTACTCTCTACACTTTTCAATTGAAACCAGTACTTTCTAGACTCTTTAATTGATCTTAACGGTATTTACTTCCAGGGTATACTCACAAATGAAACGAAGTGCTTGCGTTGTGAGACTGTAACTGCAAGAGATGAGACATTTCTTGATTTGAGCCTCGACATTGAACAGAACAGTTCAATAACTAGCTGCCTGAAGAACTTTAGTTCCACAGAGACTTTGAATGCAGAGGATAAATTCTTCTGTGACAAGTGTTGCAGGTATAATGTGTTTTTTGCTTTCTTGTTGGATAATTACAAAGAACACTCCTTTAAGGCATATGCCTCTTTGACGTAGCTGCAGCAAACTAACATGATTCGTCTCTTTGCTGTTTTCTCTCTAGCAAATTAACTAATTCATTATTTTTTGAGAACTTAGCTTGCAGGAAGCTCAGAAGAGGATGAAGATTAAAAAGCCCCCTCACATCCTAGTTATCCATTTGAAGCGATTTAAGTACATTGAACAGCTTGGTAGGTATAAGAAGCTCTCATACCGCGTTGTCTTCCCACTTGAGCTGAAGCTGAGCAATACAGTTGAGGATGCAGATGCTGAGTATTCCTTATTCGCTGTGGTAGTCCATGTTGGGAGTGGACCAAACCACGGACACTACGTCAGCCTTGTGAAGAGTCACAACCACTGGTTGTTCTTTGATGATGAGAATGTTGAGATGATTGATGAGTCAGCAGTTCAAACATTTTTTGGGTCAGCTCAAGAGTATTCCAGCAATACAGACCACGGGTACATCTTATTTTACGAGAGAGTCTCCAATGGAAGCACTAGTTAGTAGCTTAATGAGTTTAGTTTATTTTGTTTCCAATTTTGAACTCAATTTCTACCTCTAGTGATCAATTTTATCATTTGCTACATTACTTGTAGTTTCTTCAGAAATTTTCTAGTGAGTTGACATGAAATGTGAAGAATACATATCTAGGTTGTTGCCTTGTACAGTGGATGGTAAAAGCTTTACCATCTATTTTTCCAACAATAAAAGGGGAAAAAGGATATGTAGTGTATGTGATGTTGGAGTATAGGAGGCTTTATTCTTCAGTTTATGGAGTGCTAATCTGCTTTTGTGGTCCATTATCTAATTTAGAATATTTACCTTTTCTTTATATTGCACAATATGTTGAAGCCAAAACACTTACAGTTTGGCGTTTTCAATTTTATGTCAAAAGATGAAACTGGAAACAGCCCTTTCTCAAACTCTGTGCATTGTTCTTTTTTTAAGTTCCCCCCTTATGGTTAACTTTTACGATGCTACATTACTCTAGATCAGAACTCAAAAATAAGTTAATTGATTTCTTGGTTCTAAAAATTCCAGTTTGCAACAAGTAGTTATGTCTCAGACACAAACAAGAATGGTGGAGGAAACCTATACAAGATCAACAGATACTGCATTTACTTTGCATGTCTAGTTAAAACTCTTTTCCCTGATGCGTGTTTACCACCGAAGGCCAAACGTAGAAGCATTGGTTTAAATATGAAGCCATTCCTAATGTTTCATTGAAATTTATTTTGAAAACAGTAAAGTAAATTGCACGACTATATAGACAACCATCACGACTACATGCACATCACATTCACAGGCAATGAATTAATTCACAATATCCAAAATTTCTAGTTTAAAACAATAGATTGCTATTTTTTTTAAAAGAAACAAGCAGCAAAACTTGTCACGAAAATTTGTATACCTAAGCCAAAAAAGATCTGCAAAACCATTTCCTTCACAAAAAACACGCAGTCACATGTACGTTACAGCTCTCTAAGATATGCAAAAGATGTTGCATGATCCCCCAATTTCTTACAATTGATATTGATTTTCTTTGATGCTGTCTAGCCAGATTTTCTATACTCTGCATACACATGTCAGACTATTGCTGCCAACCATATTGCTGGTTGCGGTTTCCACTCATCTGGTTAGAACCTCTCCCTGCACCAGAACCTCCATATTGACCACTTTGGGAGTAATTAGGAGGACCACCATATCCACCACTCGGTCCCCGGGGACCACTGGGAGCCAACCCACTGGCAGGAAAAGGTGGGGCTCGTCCCTGAGGTGGATATGGCCCACTACTATAACCTCCGCCCTGTGCCCCACGATCTTGATAATAGCCCCCACCAGGGTTTCCACCTGGAGGATATCGATTTGATCCTCCAGTACCACGAGGCTTTCCAAACTGATGATGACCAGCCCCAGCAGATACTGCAGGCTGGGAATTGCTCATTTGATGAGTAGATCCACCCCAGTGCTGGGAATGACCAGGGTGTTGGATAGGAGGGAGGCGCGAATGTTGCTGTGGGTGCTGCAGCTTGTGTCTTTTGGCCATTTCTTCATTCTGTCTCTGCTGTTGCCTCTTTTTCTTAGTCTGGAACTCATGTGATGATTCGTATTTAGGTAGGCTGTTCAATACAGTGCGAAACAGGTTGTTAGGTTAAGAGAAATATATGCATACATATCATATTATATCTCAGGATATGCTTTCATTGATGCTTTTAAATATATAAAAATCTCAAATTAGTTGGAACAGGTGGTTAGCTGCAAGCACATTAGCCAAGAAGTTCCAGATCCATTGCAGGGAATACAATAAGCACAAACAGCACTGAGAAACGTTGATGTGAATAAGGTGCACACCTTCTAGGATCACAAGGTAAGGGGTCGGTCCAGAAATATTCACCATCTAGAGCATCCTTTGCACATATTCTCTGCAAAAAGAGAGGTGTCAATTAAAACCAGAATTAGTAAAGGAGCAGAAACATGTTTTACAAGTTACAACCAAGCTTTATGCAGTCAAACAGCTAATTATAAAACTTAGGGGCCGTTTGGTAGAGTGTATTAGCAAAAATAATGCATGCATTAGCTTTGCGTATTAGTAGTTCCTTGTTTGGTATACTTTTTCATGCTATATATAACTAATGCTTGCACCTTGCATTAGTTATACACTCTATTGTGTATTGAAGAGTGTACTACTAATACCATGGATTTCTAGGTATTCGTAATTGCAAAGGGATTTAATACATACACTAGCATTGGTTAAAGACTCAATTACCCCTCAAAAGCACTTTTACATCTTTTTCCATCTATATTTTTGTAAATAAACATTTTTATACAATACATATACATACTATTTTTTAATGCACCAAATCAAACAATGCATAAGAAATAATTTATACTAATACAAGCATTACTAATACACTCTATTGTGCATTATTTTATACACTCTACCAAACGACCTCTAAGTAGAGTTCAGATGCCTTTTGTAAGAATGGAGATGTCCACATTGGGGTTACACGAGATAATAAAATTGTCAAAAATCTGTAGTCCTTTTGAGTAATCTAGATAAATAAAACTGATAGATCTCCACAATCAGGTTTGCTCAGGAAAAAGCATTATCTAAATCCATTATGAATATAAAGGTAAAACAAGTAACAGATACATAACAGTCAGAAGGGAAATGCATAAATGATAGATGAAAGTTGTTTCCAGTTTACAACAACAGCGATCTTTATTGCATACCCTTGCTCCAAACTAGTGTAAATGTAACCTAACAAATGATGATATTCCCTATCAATTTGATCGTTTGCGCATAAAGAGACTGAGATGATGAAATGGATGCGCTTAATCCCCACCCCAAGCATGGGACCAATGATCACCCATGACTTCTGTGGCACACTAGTGCCACTAAGGCCTTTGGTGGCCTTATTGGCGCATACCACACTAGGGTCTTCAACCTAAACTTTTTTCTTACTGTAGCATAGGCCTTCGTTGGGCTTTCGTCCCTTCGCCTATAGATGGCGGCTTGGCTTGGCTTGGCTTTCGCTCAACTAAATCCAAAATAGTTGGTGCCCCTATGAATCTTTTGATCCCGTTTTGTTCTTTTCTAAGTATGCATTGGTCATGACGGAGATGTAGGTTTTATAGATACCTTCCCTCAACGTTATCTCATCCTTTTATATCATATCTTAATCGTCATATTGGTGCATCTATGGAGACAAGTTTGTGTACGACATGGCCCAACCATATCAAGCAACCTTTCTTTTTATCTTAATGTGTGCCACATGCACCACCTGTTGAATAGGGCACCCATTTTAACATCTACATTTTTACAATATTTTATCTAGTGGACTACGTGTTAGAATCCCAATATTCACAAAAACATAACGTCACTAGTCTCACACCAGTAGTAAAGAACTACTCTTTCACTACAACTATGTTCCTAGCACTCAAAACACCATGTAACGTTATTCAACTTCAACCATCGTATACAAGGCAATACACATTACTATAGAAGCTCTCAATTAGGGGTGTCAAAATGAACCCAAATATATGTAACCCGCCCAGAATTTTATGGGTTGGGCTCAAGTAATTTGGATTGGGTTCAATCTCAACTCATTCAAGAATTAACCCATTTTAAATGAATCCTCAATTGAGCACAATTTAATCTCCAATTCTAACCCGTTTTAAGACTCTTTGTTTGCATTGATGTTATATATAAAAAGTAAGAATTACTATCTATTTTATATCTTCTAGGATTATTTATCTATCCATTTGTAGCTTCTTCTTTTTTATTTTCTTGAGTTGATATTCAAATTGTGGTTATACAAATTAAATAACAATATGTAAAAACTATTGAGATTAAGCGAATCGAATTGGCGGATCATGACCCAACCCAATTTTTAGCCCATTTGAGCCCAAAGTAAACTTGGGCAGGTAAGAACCCAACCCAATTTCTATTTCAACCCATTTTAATATCTCCAATTTCAACTCAACCCACCCATTTAACACCTCTACTCCCAATGCATGTGATCGATATTCCACTAGCTAAGCTATATCACACTTGAATTTGTGTCATTTGAGAAATAGTAAACCATCTATGATCTCTTTCTATAAGCTTATTTAGAAAAGATAATTGTATTACAACAGTAGCACTAAGGAAGTGCTGCAATATTTACAGGCAAGCAAAACCCAACAGAAGAAGCAGGGATTCTAAGAGGCTATGTATTCTGCTTCATTTACAAATTCCTCATTGAGAAAACAAAATACAGCTAAACTTGAGTTGTTGGACCGAATTAGCTTTGTCTTCAAAACATCAATTGTTCGTTTCCTTCCAAACAATCTATCATATGGATGCCGGGGTGATATTACACCATAGTGACCTCTTTCTCCTCTTTCTGCCTCTAACAACCTGTGGAAGTTCTTGGGTATGTTGCTTGGACTCTCCAATATTATTGTCGTACCTATGCCAGATTCTCCAAAATGCACTAGGAGTATTCGACACGCACCCATCGACATTTCAGAAGAGTCCGAGCAACATAGGTTCACGGTATTCCCCATTCTAGGCCTACTGTGTTTTGGTATGTGTCATGGCTTTATTGTCACTCTACAATGAATTGAAAGATGGTTAATACTTTCTACTTCTTCCCGCAAAAGTGGCACCTACTGCACAAGAAATGTCCCTTTTTCGGATGGTTGTCAAGTCTCAGACATGCATGTCAGGTCCATTAAACAAGATATGCAAGGCACTTCGAATGAGACTATTGAATCCAGATCATAGACCACGGTCACCGACTCTGCTAAAGGCTTGTATCAAGAGTTTAACAATGAAGACATTTGACACTGTTGAGTCTCCCACATCGGCTAAGGGGTGTGGGATCCTCACCTTTTGAGTTAGGTTTTGGAGAGTCAGGCTCAAGATTCATTTCTTTACACGGTATCAGAGTCGGACTCATCCTAATTCTTTGTTTCACTAATGTTGGGCCCCCGTTTATATTGTTCACAATCCCATTAGCAAGCCTGGGCATGCAAGAGGTGTTGAGTCTCCCGCATCGGCTAAGGAAGGGGAGACTTGGCTTCGGCATTCCTCACCTCCTGAGCTAGCTTTTGAGCTTGAGTTTAGGCCCAAGATCCATTTCTTTACCAAAGCCTTCGTCATGCATCTACTGAACTAAAGTATTTTCACTTAAGTTGAGACTTTTTTTTTGACAAACACTTAAGTTGAGACTTTGGAATGGTTGTAGGATAAGTAGTAAAGCAGTAACTCTTCTCACTTCCCAATCATCAAAATTTCTTCTAAATTCGAAGTTCCAAGTGTCTTATTCTTGTAGCAAGCCAATGTGGCATCGGATTGGATGGCAATCGGTATGAGTCAAGGAATTGTGGCATCAGATTGGCTAGCATTCAGTATGAGTTAGGGAATTGTGCTCTTAAAAGGGGAGATCAATACAATTATAATTTCAAAATGGCAATTTTCAAACAATGCCCACTTATACTTCAAAACCAATATTTCGTATTTTCTATAAAAGAAGGGTGAAGTACCCAAATGTCTCTCAAGATTGATATTCCATGTGATATTCCATCAAAAAAAAATATCTTCTTCATACTTCGTGTGGAGGACATTCCTCCAAAAAGCCTCAGTTTCATAGTTTAACCATAGCTACTTCGAGAGCAAGGCCCTATTGTGCTACCTCAGGTTTTCAATTCTAGTCCTCATACCTCCTAACATTGACTTTACTCCATTTAACTAAATGAAAGTTCCTTTTAACTGATCCAATCTTTTCTCATTGAATAATTTCCTTCTACACAAAAGCACAAGTTCTCAAATTCTCAGCCACTATTTACCTTCTGGCTTCCGATCTGTCAATAATAGTTGTCTTTGCCATTTTCCCCCATCCTCTGCTTATCTTGCAACCAGTAATCATCTTTCCTTAATCTATAAAGGAATAGTATTTTTCTCTTTTCTCTTGCATAAAAACCTGATGAGCTCGTCCCATAGGCCCTAAGTTGTTTTGAGTAGGTAAGTAGTGATTATATTAAAATGAACAGCCTAGCACTAAGATATGCTAGAACATTACAAAGTTGGGAACCCTCCTATAAAAAAAACAAATAGGAGTCCCATATGTACACAAGTTCTATTCTGTAGTAAATAGATGAACTGTAACATGCTATCATCATCCTTTATATCATGTATCAAAAAAACATAAACATCTACACTTTAGTTTCTGTACAAGATCTTCCCATTCGAAACATCTGTAATTCCTTTCATACCCACAAGACTCAACGTATGCAAGCTGGCACTATTTTCCTCAAATTATTCAATGGTTTTCTGATGACGACTGTATTGCATTACAAAAGGCATTTGAACAGATCAAAAACAGGTTCCAAATCTGTCTAGCAACAGTGCAATGCAATAAAATATAATGCAGTTCTCCTCCCTGCTACTGTGCTACACATAACATTTGCTACAAATCAACATTCCCCTTCCCTATAGATTGCATCGGGTGAGGCACACATCATCTGAAACCAACCGTGTAAAGCAGGCAACCTTATAAGAGGCCTTAGATTTCCATTTCTTCCATGGCCAACTGAAAAGGCTGCCTAACTCTTTATTATCTGCTTGTGACAATCTTCATCCAAAAAAAATCATCTCCTTGTAATATGAACCTAAAAAGAATATTTCATTTATTGCCTCTTCCATATGGTACAATCAGCTTCTTCTGCATTTAGAGCCAATTGCTCCAAGTCTTTTAGCAATAGCATCATTCATGGTACTTCCCAATCAAAGTAGAGTCTTCTATAGTTTATGCACCAGCTACCACAATTCCAACAATATGACACAACTTCCTATATTGGTTGTGAAATTATAATGGTCCTCTCCAAACAGAACCTTGTATTCTTGCTGTGACTAACCTTAATCTCTATACTGGTTCTAAAAGCTCGTGCCTGGTCTAAAGCTGCACACATGCTTCCATACAAGCCATGGGGTGTCTGAACTATACCAATATACCAAAGACTTTGTTCTCCATATTTAGCAACAATTATACTTTTTATGTGGCACCAAAAGTATATCAAATTATTTTATAATTTGATATACGCTAAGACGTGGCAAATAATAGCAAATGCTTTACTCCCTCCATCCCAATCTATGTGGCACCCTTTAACTTGACACAAACTTTAAGACAAAAAGGAGAACTTCTGAAATTTGTGGTCTAAAACAAACCTTAGACATTTATGTGGCTATAAATCATTTCAATAAGGGTTTAGAGAGAAATTTGAGAGTTAAGTCGTCTCTAATTATAGAAAGGTTGCATTCCTTTTGGGACAAACTAAAAAGGAAAGGGTACCACATAAATTGGAACGTTCATACATTTTGTCCGGTCAAAATGCATCAACATCATATGGGTGGGAATAAGAACGTTGGTTAAAGCAAGGCGACTGTTTTACTACTATGTTCTACTATAATCGTTACGGGTACTAACAAACATACAACCAATGTCCCTCTACAAATTCTGATAATACCAGACAAAAGCAAATCAATCAAGAATACAAATTGCAGCAGTAATAAACAATCTACATACTAAGAATAGTCACACACTAATGAACCAAGTGAGTGCCTTTGGACAGAAAGGAACTCCTAAGGAGAGTACATATTGCCTTCATAAATAAGTTCACATGCCAGTAAAACCTATATTCTTGAGGCAAAAGAGAGATTGATCCTTGTCTTCTTTTTGTACTCAAACGACTTTTGATTATGGAACAAAGGAAAACTTTGCACTTCGAGATTTAGTTACTAAAACCACATTAAGGGGAATAACCTGAGATGGGTCAAGATTCAGCATTTTGTCTAATAAATCCAAAGCATGGCGATCAAAACTGCACAATGAATAAAAATCAAGTATGTTAGCCATTGTACAAAACAAGTAGTTCAAACTACTCATATTTCAAATGGAGAACCCTTAACTGCCTAAAGACCTCTCTAACTCGTCTTTTCATTGGCCTTGCTGGCTTGAACTTGCTGTACCAGGGAATCTTTGATACACCAGGCCAGTTAATCTCATCAGGGGTTCCACAAAGCTCAAATATTTTGTTCAATTGTTCAGGCTATAATCAGAAAAGATTAAGAGAGATAAAGCCAACTGAAATCATAAAATTGTACTAAAAATAGAGCATAAAGATGAAGCAGAAGCAAAAACACAGAAAAAAAAATAGTAGAGAGAGCACACATCAAAAGAAACACACTAAGAGCATGTTTGACTAAGCTCTTGTAAAATTTTGCTTGTCATCATATAATGGAGATTATTAGTCACGAACCTAGCTAACAAGATCAAATGAAAGAAATTAAGAAAATCTTTCCTCTTCAGATTTTATTCAATCAATCGTTAGATCAGGTTCAAATAAGTTTTTTTTTTTTTTTTTTGATAGGTTGAATTCTACAGCATTAAGGGTATGCTGGCAACCTCCAAAATGGGATAATTACAGATTTCCTATCAAATCTATAATCTGGTCTATATCAACCATACAAAGTTGTTTACACCAAAAAAGTAGAGATACTATACAATTCCATTTAACTTTGTGGATGGAATTGGATCTATCTTCAAAACATCTTCCATTTCTTTCTTTCCAGACTGACCACCATACACATGATGGTATTAGCTTCCACCATCTCTTTTGACTCTTACTGCCTCCCCTCCTAATCCAGCAGCTCAACAGATCTGATGTATGTTCTGGCATTGTCCAGTTCATGCTTGTGATGTTGAGAAACAAGTTCCAAATTTTGGGCAGTAAACTTACAATGCAGGAAGAGATGGTTATTTGTTTCCCTGTCAAGTTGCACAAAAAACACCTAGGGACCAGTTGTCTGCCTTTCTTTTGTAGAACTTCTTCTGTTAAACATGCTCTCTTTATCACTAACCAGGTGAAACACTTTATTTTTGTAGGAATATCACTCTTCCAAAAGTAGTTCCAATTATTTTATTTTATTTTATTTTGGGGGGGGGAGGCGCTGTCATCCCCAGTAGTCCTCTTTTGTAGGCATTGTTGACTGAGAAGACTCCATCCTTACTATGTTTCCACAGGATCTTGTCTGTTGCTGTTGTAGTTATAATCATTCCAGCTAGTTTTTCCAGTAGCGCTGCCACCCTCTCCACCTCCCAGTCATTAAGTAGTCTTCTTAAAGAAATGTCCCATCCCTGTTCTGTCCAACAATCACTCACTCTAGCATCAGGGTTCTCACAGATGAGAAACAAATCTGGAAAAAGTTCTCTAAGAGGGGTTTGGTCTATCCAGCCATCTTTCCAAAATTTAGTTTTGTTTCCATTACCCACCTTAATATACATATTTCCTTCCATTTGTGACCATAGGTTCCTGATTGTCCTCCATACCCCCACCCCATAAGTTGTTTTCTAATCCAAAAGCTTCATTGTTATCAGCATATTATACAGAGAAATGGTATAGCAACCTATCTAACATAAGTATAAGATACTCTCAAGAAATAGAGGCAATAGCACATTAGCAGAGATTCCTTAGAACACTAGCAGCAGGTATACTTGTAAAGCGAAGCTACTGACACCTACAGCACCTAGAGAAGCAAGAAAAAAGTTTAAAAGGATATTACCTCATTTTTCCCAGGTAAGATTGGCTTTCCGAATAAAAGTTCAGCAAATATACAACCAACGGACCACATGTCAACAGCGGGTCCATACTTTGTGGCTCCAAGCAACAATTCCGGAGGTCTGTCCAAGATTATTGTATATTTTTAGTCTAGAAAGAGCAGAAAAACCTCAGAGTGAAACAAGCAAAGTAATAAGAAGAATGCTTTAACAGGCTTTAGATTTACCTGTACCACAGAGTAATAACACGATTTGTCAGATTAGCATTATGATCACCAGAAAATGAGCGGGCTAAACCAAAATCAGCAAGCTTCAGATTTCCTTCATTATCTATCAGAAGATTAGAGCCTGCTAACATAAAAATGGAAAAAAAACAAATGTGTCACGAGCTTCCAGGAACACTTGCAATCAACATGTTACATACAGAGAATCAAGTACAAAGTAACCTTTGATATCTCTGTGAAGAACTTGATTAATATGGCAGTAATGAAGACCAGTAAGCAGTTGCTTCATGTAGCACTGGAAAAGGAGTGTTGTCAATAAATGAGCAGCGAATAGATAGTCATCACAATAAGAAAAGACATAATCTTTTCTGCTAGTTAGGCTTACGATACTTTAATCTGCGGAATTGTGAATCTCAACCCTGGTCGATCAGCAAGGCCAGTCAAGTCATGATCCATGTATTCAAAAACCATGTAGATGTTTCCCTTGTACTTGTTACTATCTATTCCTGTAAGAAAATCGAAATTCATGGATGTTAATTTCTGCAAACATTTGGAAAGGAACTTCACTACCAATAAGAAAATTTTCTTAGCTGGATTACCTAGCTTCTCTGGCTCATCCTCTTCAGGACCTAGATGAGAAATTCATGTCAGAACTGACAATAAAAGTTCAAACTTACCCAAAGTTCCAAAAATTATAGCATCTAAGAATTAACAAAGAAAGTACCTTGAGAGGTTACTATCTCCAACAGCTTAATGACATTTTCATGCTGCAATTTCTTTAGAATTTTAATCTCACGGATGGCTGTTATGGGGAACTGCAGAAATAAGTATGAAGTACCAGGGAATCAATTTTAGCCCAGCAATGCAATAGTCAAAATAAGCTCCAATTAGGGGTGTGCAAAAACCGATTTTACCAATAAACCGAACCCAAAAAAACACTATTGGTTTATTGATATTGGGTTATTGGGCTAACGGTTTTTAAACGGTTTTGCAAATTTTTTTATTGGGTTATTGGTTCGGTTTCCGGTTTTATAATTTTTGTTAATGGTTAAACCGATAACCCAATAAGACTATACTAAATTTACTAGTCTTATTGTTAATGGTTAAACGATTGTTACTTTCACACTTTTTGTTAATGGTTAAACGATTGTTACTTTCACACTTTTTCCTTCGAATGTGTCTAGTGTCTAAACTTGCAAGAAAAATGATTGTTACTTTTATGATTAGTACTTTCATGCCAAATGCTGGAAAAATCATATGGTTTATTTGAAAATTTTCTTATCGTGTATATAATATATATGAGTATTTTCTTATTGGTTAAACCGAAAACCGAACCGTTAAGTACCATAAACCGATTAACCAAAAACTGATAAGAAATGTGTTATTGGTTTGGTTATCGGTTTGAAGTATTTACAAACCGAAAACCGATAAACCGAACCAATAACCCTTAAAACCGAACCGAACCGACCGATGCGCACCCCTAGCTCCAATATTTAAATTAAATGGTACAAGTACAAATCTAAAACAGCATGATGATTGGGGAAAAGAACAGTACCCCCTCCTTCTCATTGTCCATACGTATCTTTTTCAAAGCAACAATCTCCCCAGTTTGTTTATCTCTGGCCATGTACACTTGCCTGGAAAAGAGCAACAGAGCCAATCATGCTAAGCATACAAACAATGAAGCAATACTATTGAAATATCAACAAATGCAAAGTTGGCTGAGTCATCTCTAAATTGAATCAATGTCATCTGCAGTCTCCAATTACAATAGTTACAATGTGAATCCCAAGTGATAGTGTCAATTGCATCCTTATTGCGTGACTTTGGCCCGTTCTTAATTAGTCAGTTAGATTTTTATCAACAAAAAGTAGCCAAGCACCAAAGCTAGTGCTGGACATTACAAATTGAGAAGCCCCCTACACAAACTAAAAGAAATTGCTCACCAATACAAAAAATACTCCTGCAGTGAGTCGATAAAATCCATCATGCAATTTTCATCAATGCTAGCAAGCCTAAACATCCGTATTTTATTATTTGAGTTGAGTGAGTTCTGCCCTCAGAACACCTAAAGTTCCTCCCTATCGATCGTACCCAACAGACACACACGGATACTCCTCTACATAATAAGAGATCTATGAAGCCTTCCCCCAACTATCCAAAAATTGTCTGATCGACTGTCACACTATCCAGTCCTGCCCAAAAATGTTGAGGAACAGGTCCCACAACTGCCTTGCAGGAGCTGGGCCAGGAAAAATCAACTTAACACTTAATAAAGTTTACCAGAATTCAACAACTATGGTTGGTATGCAAGGATTGACTCTTGGATTATTCCGGGGAAAACCTTCAACTGGGGGCTTCATTTAAAAAAAAAGGAAACCTCCAACAAGTGTTTTGGGACACGAGAGGCAACAAAAAGCGACGAGGCCCCTTCACTGAGGCGAGGAGTGAACAACAACAACAAACCCAGTGTAATCCCACAAGTGGGTCTGGGGAGGGTAAAATGAGGCGTCAAGTGAAGCGCCAATAAATACAAACAAATTAAAATAAGAAATATGTATATATGAATAACTAAAAATTCAGTAACATATCAAACAAAACTAATTAAATTATTAACTATTATGCAACTAAAACTGAGAAGAAAAAAGCTGGCAAAAAAAAAACGCAGAAACAGTGGACAAACAAAGAAAGAAAGAAGCTGCCGGAAAACAGAGGAGAAAGAAGAAAGAAGAGGAAAATAGAAAAAGTACATGAACCCTAGCTTCAACTCACCTCGTCTGACCGGAAAACAGAAAAAGAATAAGAGAGAAGCTGTGCAGGGGTAGTCTGACTTTGACCAAAAAATCCTAGTTCTCAAGTTGCCATTAAAAGCTATGCTTTGACTCGCCGCCTCATCTGCCCTTTTCAGATTGCTCCTCGCCTCAGAGAAAAAAAGGTGATAATTGTCTGCTTCGCCTCGCCTCGCCTCAACAAACTAAATTCGTATAAATCTAATGTTGTTCGGTCTTACACTCTAATCTATTATTATTATCCATATTAAAGCCTCAAAGAATGTTTCTAGGGATTGAAATGATATGTGTTCTCTTCAAAACAAAAATAGTGCAAGTTCTTCCGACAAAGACAATTATTTTTTCATTGTTACAAAGTCAACATTAATTTCCCAAAACCAAATTCAGACAGGAAAAAGTCAAAACCAAAAAAAAAATAGAACATTTCTAAACCAAATGGCACCATTACAGAGGGCTGTGTAGATAATTGAAGATGGGAGTGCGGTCTCCCCACCCCCCACCCAACAAGTTATGTCTTCATGAAGGGTAACATGGGGATGTAGTTTCCAAAAAGGAAAGGTGTCATTCTTTTTGGGACAAACAAAAAAGAAAAGTGAGTTACGTAATTGGAATACTTATTTCTACTTATCATTACTGGTGTAGAGAGAGTAGATCATTTCTATGAAGTGAAGCGAGGGCTCAGCGCTTCAGCTGGCATGAAAATATGGGGGGAAAAGTTAGTGAGACCAATAGGACAACAATTTTATGTCTGTTTTGTGACAAGAAAACTAAAGGGGAACCTTTTTTAGTTTTTAATATAATTTTTTGCTTATATTTGTCTCTATTTATTTTGGTCTTTTTTCTTTTAAATTGTGCTTCACTTCAATGAAGCGAGCCCTTCGCTTAAAGCGTGAAGCGAGACCTTGTCTCTTTTTACTGCTCTGCGCTCCCCTAAACACTGCTCTTACCACCAGTCATTTAAAGTGTAACAAGTGGAACTCTCACCACCACATATTTAAAAGAGGATTCCAGTACTTTGCAACATTTGACCTACATGTCACAAAACACCTACACATAAAACGGGCCGGAGCGAGTTATAACTGACAATATCCTCGAAACTCTTATGTAAAATATCATAAACAATAAAAAGAATCAAAAAAATGTTATCACAACCAATAAAATGGGAAACAACCAAGTATAATGGCAAAACATTTCTAAAGGGCTGATTCCGGCTCAACAAGAATGTGCACTAAAAGTCTCATGCCTACTCTACATTCCAAAGTACACTCATACATCAGATCCTTCTAGAATATATCAATGGCCACACATACATCTCTAGAAACTATTTAGTAATGTATCAAAAGTCTATTGCTTCCCACAAGAAATAGATCATTCTTGATTCCGAACCCCAGGAATGACCAACTTGTACTGGAGTTACAGGAGGCGATCAACTATCACCAGAATGCAGATCAAAGTTCTTCATGTAAACAGCAGCTAATTTTTCACTAGAGATGGAAACTTTTCCAGCCTTCAAATATTGATGCTTCCAAATGCATTTTCAAAATTTACAAAGAGCTTTTTGGCTGAAATCTCAGAATTGATTTAATCAGATATTAATAGACTATAGTTAAAAAATAACTCTACATGCACCACCTATCCGTGCTCCAAGCATCTCCTTCTTCGGTCCAATAAAACTAGAACTAATTACTAACTCTTTGCATATTTACATTGGAAATATAATCCTTTGCAATATTACACTAACTGGAATATGAGCACCGGCTTGCCTACAACAACAACATACCCAGTGTTATCCCAGAAGTGGGGTATGAGAATGGGTAGGGTGTACGCAAACCTTACCCCTACCGCCAACCGGATTTGTCTATATAGCCAACATAGACATTCGAAGGGGCAAGGGCTACCCAAGAAGTAGCATAATATTGTCTTGATTCATAAAAAGATAATAAGTGAAATCATTAATGTGAAAAGAACCAAAAAAAAACTTGTCTAATAAACAGGACAGCAATCTTCTGGTTTTGCCCTTCTCTCAATGGCCTCACAGTATCAGTTTCAAATGAAAAAAAAAAAGGCTTCACATAGCCTATCCCGAAACTCAATAAAACCTAACATCAGATCATGAAGTACCGGCATTACAGCAAACTAAGACAAAACTACAATAAAATATCCCCCAATCCCACCCGGGTCCTACACCCAAGTTCTCAATTACCCAGAAAGAGCACAACAGCAAAACACAAAAAGTAAAATCAACAACACAAATGTACCAAAAGCTGCTATTTTCTTGATTCAATGAGGCAAAAAAAGTAACCCTCATGTTATTAAACCAAGGGAACCCATCCTTAACTATCCAAATAAGAGGCAAAATAGAGGATAAAAGGAATTTGACTATCTGGGGAGGAAAAAGACTGACCCATAAGTTCCTTCACCGATTTGTTCAAGCTTTTCAAAGCATTCGATACTTCGAGAACCCCATAGTGGCGATTCATCAAGATTCAACTGACCAAAAGTAGCCACCGCCATGTTTGTACCTATCTCTCTTCCTCTGTGTGAAGAAGAACGATTGATGTAGGGTTGTATAGAGTTGATAGAGAGAGAGAAAGAAAGTTCAATTCAAAAACCACAAGAGAGGAACGCAATGGAGGCGGCTTCGGATTACTTTGTAGTTTGTATGGAGTTGTGGGTTTTTCCACTAAACAAATGGCCTTGTTTGTGCCCAATACAACTTACCAAGGGTTTTTTTGCTAATTCTTTTAAAGGTGATAGGTTATTTCATAATGTATTATAATGTTGTCGACTTATATCATATTGTATTGTTTTGATCAATATAATGTTTGAAGTGATAAGACAATTCAAATTTTTAATATTCGTGGACAGAGAATTGTAAAAAGGGAAAAGGGTCTGATATACCCCTCAACTTTATCAATTAGAGTTGATATACTCCTCATTATGAAAGTGACTCATATATGCCCCTATTGCTATATAAATGGCTCACATATACCATTTTTCTTTAACGGAAGTGAAAAAATTAATTTTAATTTAATATTTTAATTATTATTATTTTAAAAAAAATATAAACCCATATGGGTATATTTAATCCTCCTCACACATAATTTTTTTTGACTTTTTTTGTTTCAACGACTAATTTAAAGTTATTATTTTGATTGTCAAATTTATTTATGTTTCACTAATTTTCTTGTAAACTTTATTATAGATGACCCAATTTTTTTCAATACAAAAACTAAATAACAATATAGTAAAAAAAATAGTTTTAAATTATAATATAGCCACAAAAAAAATAGTTTTAAAATTTTCTCTTTACACTAACGAACGAAAGAAAAAAATAAAATAAGAAACTCAAAAAATGATAATCAAAGACGTCAAAAAATAATTTATGTATAAAAAAGATTAAAATATACCTTGAAATTCGCTAGAAGGATCATATATACCTCTACATGATTTTTTTTAAAATTTAAAAGTCAAAAACATAAATTTAATACTATTTTTTCACTTCCGTTAATTTAAGGGTATATGTGAGCTCATTTTGTAACGGTAGGGGTATATGTGAGTCGTTTGTATAACGGTAAGGGCATATATGAGCCACTTTCATAACGAGGGGCATATCAGCTCCAAATGACAAAGTTGAGGGGTATATCAGACCCTTTTCCCTTGTAAAAATGTAAAGAAGATGTATGTTCTTTGTCGTTACAAAATGTCACACATCAATAATTTGAAAAATATTTGTCGTTACATAATGTCACACACTAATAATTTGAAGGATAAACCTACCAGCAAAGTAAGATATGTGATAATAATAAGTAAAGACAAAATGAGAAGACAAACTAAGATAATAATGTGATCACACTAACTTAATCATTTCACTATATCTTTTTTTCTAATCGTTATATATAATGTATTTAATGATATGATATATAATATAATAAAATTAAGTAACAATTAGAACAGATTATGTATTTAAACTAACTTAATAGTATAATATAATGGGTAATAACCGTTCAAATGAAGTGTTCGAGTATGCGCCTAGATCCACTAATATAATTTTATTTGTAAATTACATAAATATTGAAGTATTAAATAATATTAGTATAGTATTCACGCGATACGCGGAAAATATATATAAGAAAAAATATTAAAATATTATCTTATTTGCTTAACCACCTTATTTATTTATTATCGGATTAATTGTTAATTCAAATTATTCTATGCAGGGTTACTAATAAGAAGGCCATTAAAGAGAGAAATCTAACTAAAATTATCATAAAATATTGTGTTATGTATGATAAGATATAAATATAAGCATGTATAATGATATATAATGTATTGAATAATTTTATATAAACACTTGACGATAATACATATATTTATTTATTTTTGATGAAAACCTTTATTCAATAAAGAAAGGGCAAGCACCGAAAGACATGAATGATCAAAGAGAGGCCTCAACTGACGCTAATAAAGCCAAATAGCATAATTTTTGCTTTTTCGCCGCCCACCCTTTTTCAATACAATTTAGTTCATCAGCATTTCTATCTATTTTGTCGTTTAATTCGAATTTCTTATTTGGAATCTCTTTTACTTTTCTTTTTCACTAGAAATCGACTCATATATCAATCTACGTGTCTTCCCTCGTAAAGGAAGTAGTTATGGGAGACTTTATCCCTAAAGGCAACGGCTAGGTAGGGGTCTCTTGGATAATAATATGATATATATTTCGCTAGAGGTAGGGGTCAGGCTTGTAACATCTCGCAATTTGAAATAACTAGGAAGAAGCTAATAATTGGAAATAGTCATTTTTGGAAAGAATGAAAATCTGGAAATTTTGTTAAGTTAGAATAAGTTGAGTTTTGGCCAACTTCAAACGGCCATAACTTCTAGCTCACGATGAGTTAGAGATACTTCCCCATATGGTAAGAAAGCTATTGAAATAATGTTTCCAACGCCGCTGAGTTTGCGTGATTTCGAGTTTGTATGAGTGAGTTATTCCCTTTGAAAGTTGGGTTGTTGGAATAAGGAAAGTCCAATCCGGATTTTGAAAGGGTAGTTTGGTCTTTTTCTTGCCCAATTATTTTATTTTGTTTTTGGTAATTAAGTTAGGGTCTAATCAGAATTAGATCAGTTTACGCTTTTACCAAAATATGCTAGGGCTTGGAGAAAAGAGAAAAGAAGAGGACAAAGGAGAGGAGAAGCAAGATTCGTCAATATCGTCGAGTTTAGCTTGTGGATTTCGTCGGGGGTGATCCCTACAAGGTATGTGAGATCACATAGCGTTGGGTTAGTTCACCCAAGCACCAACCATGATTCAATTCAGTGAATTTAAGTCTTTGAAAGTTTAGAAATTGAGTTCTTGATGATCATTGTTGAAGGTTTCGTTTGAATTCTTATGGGTTGTGTTGTTGAAGTTTATTGTGTTTTGATTCATGTTTTCCGGGTGTAATTTCGATTTGAATCTACCGTATATTAAGAGTATAAATTATTCTAAGTGTTTGGGGAAAGAACTAAGTAAAATTAGAGAGTTTAGAGTTGAAAAACGAAGAAGAAAATTTGGGATTTTCTCGAGAAAGGGCTGGGGCTCCGCGCCTCTCAGTGCGCCCCAAAACAGTCTCTGAATGTGGGGATCTGGGGCGACACGCCAGCCAGAGCTCCTCAACTTGTTCTCTGAATTTTGAGGATTGGCGCCCCGCGCCTCTCAGAGCGCCAGGGACGCCAATTCTCCCCATTCATTCCCCACCTTTTCATACTTGTTCCTTAGCAATGTACCTATGTTTTCTAGTTGATTCCAACACTCTTAGGTACATCTAAACATCATGAAATAATCCATAAACATGAGATCATTAACCTTGAATCCATAATCCAATTCAAGGAAAGCTAAGATCAAAGTCAAGAGAAGTTCTTAGAGTTTTCCAAATGTTTTAACTTTGTTTTAAGACTTAAAGTTCAAATTGAGAAAAGATTAAAGAGTAAAGTTTGAAGTTCATTTCTTCAAAGGTATATGGGGACTATGTATTCCGAAAGGGTTAAAAATGTTTTCACATTTAAACAAGAATGGAAACCTCGATTTTCAAAGAGCCTTTGGGATAGTTTTCAGAAAAGAGTAATCGTTTTCTAAATGAAGCAATAGAGGAAACTTTGATTTCCAAGATAGCCTTTGAGCTAAGTTGTTGAGCACTAATCTCAAATCACAGAAAGAAGTATGTTTTAAACATAAGAGCTAATATTATATTTTTGGGAGTAGTATTGAGCACTGATATGGGGGAGAGTTCAGACAACTCACATCCCCCATAAACCATAAAGCCATCATGGGTAGAAAAATGTCATACTTTTTAGATGATTCCTTTAGTGCTTTTTAGCATAGACTAGTGGATCCACTTAGTAGTTCAGGTTATATACCCTCGACAAGGTATAGGGCGGCCCTGGCAGCGTGAGGCAAAACGTTATATCATCACAATAGCTCTTACGTGATGGTTGTCGGTTAAAAAAACTCCCACAAAAGTAATTGTATTCTTAAATACACAGTTTATTGTATTTTTGCATACATTTCAGAGTTATATGTATCTTTGCATACACACAGAGTTGACATCATGTTTTAAACAACTTTTCTTTATATTGCACTTGTTTAAAACTGTTTTATATTGAAATAAGTTTAGTTATGTTAAGTTGAGTCGAGCCAGGTAAGTTCTTCAGATTTTTTTCAAGTCTATGTTGTGTTTTGCATTCCAACTAGAATACTCGTACATTCAATGTACTGATGCCAGTTGGCCTGAATCTTATTATGATGCAGACACAGGTAACTAGGATCGGCATCTGGCGCATCGTTGATCCAATGAGCACTCCAGAGTCAGTTGGTGAGCCTCTTTGCATTTCGGAGGACTCATTTTATTGCTTTCAGTTACTTTGTTAGTTCATTAGGATGTCGTGGGGTTGTTCCGACATCTATCTTAGTTGTTTTGGAAGCCTCATAAACAGTCATATGTTAGTTCTTTAGTCCTTTCATTGTCACTATCTTGTGTTAAGACTTGAGTTTGCCTTAATGGCCAAGTTGAATGTTCCATTATAACATTCCAGTTTATTACATAGACTTGTCTTTGTTGAATTAAGTCTTTCGATGAGTAAGTAAGTCAGGTCAAGGGTTCGCTTGGGGCCATCAATGGTTCTCGAATGCCAGTCCCGCCTAGGGTGTAGGCTCGGGACGTGACAAGGCCTGTCTGCAGTAGGACGTATTGGGTATTTTAAGATAGACCAAATATATATAATGACCCAACGATCAATTAAATTAGTGTTACTTTTGTCTCTCTTACTTCTCACTCCAAAGAAATAATGCATTAAATCCTTATATGTTTGTCGAAACAGTGAATTAAGCACAAATCACATCTTTGACAATATCGTTCTTATTGCAGTCTTAATTGTATAATACTGCAATTTAAATTTTCTCTCTAATACTATCAGTATAATTAAAGAATAAATATATATAAGAAACACTCAAATATTACTCTTATCAAGTAAGTCACCTTAATAAACTATTAAACATCTTTTAGCGAATGTTTGGAAAGCCACTAGGTAATTGGAATTTGTGTAATTACTAAAGTAGTAATTACCATCCTAGTAATTACACAACCTAGTAATTACATTGGCATATTTGTTTACCATATTGTACTTATCAGTGCACTGTTTGGTTGCACAATTGTAATCATAAGGTTGTATTGAATTTTAAAAATAAAAATCAATTGTCAAAATTAA